CCCCCCCCGGAGCAAAATTGCCTCAGGTGACGATTAACCTAGGGACAGCCCTGCTAACTGCAACTTGTTTGGTGTCCAAGAAGAAGATATGCTAGGCCACAGGGCAAACTGTACCCTGTTTTCTGGTTCTGGGTTCACTTGTGTAGGCCTTCACATCTTGCCACCTTCTGAAACTGCCTATTGGTCGTTGATTATACCCATTTAGGGAGATTCAGGAAGTGGAAAGGGGAGATGCCAACCTTGATTTTCATAGCAAAAAAAAGGATTTGCATACAAGATCAGCTGCCTATGTCTCTGGATATACTTGTACATAAGGTTTGCAAGAGAAAGCAGAAAGAATGTTTGCACTAGTACTAGGATTTCGGGCAGTCTGATAAGACTGAATTAGGAGTAGCTGTGCCATTAACCAAGGGGCATGGTGGCAACCAGAAAGGTTAATGCCATTGGGTGTCATCTACCCAAGACTAACAATCCTGTGCCACACAAAAACAAGAGGCATGTGTATCCTTACTTTATGTGCTTTGTGTATTCCTTCCAGATCTGTGAATTACTACAGTGGGAAACTTTGCCTCTTTACAGTAGCTTCCTGTAATGAAGACCAGTCACTGCTGCTGTCTCTTCTTGAGCCAGGTGACGGGTCTTGTATCTGCCCCCTGTAGTGGATGGGGTCTGCTAGGTGCCTCCTACAGCTCTGCTCTCTGCACAGCCTATGTACAGCATGATGATGATGTCACTGCTATATTACAAGGTATTGAGCAATATATATAAATAATAGTTTTTGTGCCTGGAATCCAGCTTTAAGTTCTAACCGTGCAATAAACCATTCATACTGGATGATCAGATTTCCACTGGGGACAATAAGTAATTAATCTGCTCAATTGAATTCAGAAAGGAATAACCCCCTTTTATTTGACAACCTTGAAGGAATATGATCACATTAAAATGACTTCTGTGTACATATACGATTACATGAGGACTGCCACTGACAGATGCGGCCAAATGTCACCCTGTCATTAACTTGGGTACAGCGGCCACATCTGAACGGGGATACCTGGCATTTCTGGCTCAGGAATCTGTAGGTTCTTGCCACAGGAATGCCAGATCACCCTGCGTGAACAGGTTAATACTGATCATCCCAATCTATTATAAGTTATGGATGCTACATGGATAGCTCTGCAATTGCACTACATCTCTAACAAAGGTCTCGTCACTCTCATGACTGTATGCAAGTTTTCAAAAATAAATTATTAGGCTTTGCTGGGCAGGTCACAGGGATCCAAGATAATCACAGACAGTCATTTAATGTGTTTGTGAACACTGCGTGTCTCTGCAAGGTTTATCTGATGTTTGTTAAATGACCTGCAGCCTTAGGAAAGTATAAATGGTTTACAAACAACACAGTTAGTTACAAAAAACACAGACAACAAAGTGTGCACTTCCACAGATTGGTCTCTTCAAAAGAGAATATATCAGTTTTGTATATATTTACTTTATTATGGTCAGGACTAAAAATATACATTTTGAAAGTGTCTTTGCTTCATTTTACTTATAATCAGGTGAACATAAAATATAGCATGTGTCATGGTGACTTACCTACCATGCATCAGCGCCCAGTATGTCTCCTGCAGCCATGAGGACTTTACAGGTTTTACTCAGAGTGTCGCAGCCATGTCACATGACATGGCTGCAACACTCCCTCGGCTGCGGGAGACATAGAGGGCACAGATACTGGAGATTGGTAGGCAAATAACCGTGACAGCATGTGAATATTATGAAGTCTTCTATCAAGCTAGCAGGTGGAGATTTAGCGACCTTTTCACGTGCTTCCTTCTGTTTCTTTACTTCCTGTTTGCTTACAGAGTTCAGTAGCTGAAGCTGAATTTTACACGCAAAAGTAAATGAGTCAGAGCAAGGGCTCGTCCCTTATCAGACCATCTGAGATTTCAATCAACCAAAGTAAGTCTCAAAGCAGAGAGCTTCTGATGGGTTTTGGGCTCTGTGAATCCTTTGTCATGTATTAAATGTTTTTATGTAAAAAACTGTATACATGTATTAAAATGAGATATAAAATAGTTGATAAATAATGCATTGACCATAAACCATTGTAGTTTTCCTTGAGTTGTTTGTTTGTGCAGTGCTTACCTTAAGGACAAGGCAAAAGAAAAGGCGCATTTAACTCATACCCCCTGGCCCAGCAGCATATACAGTAAACTCTCTGTTATCCGGTATTCAACTAACCCGAACTCTAACCGACAAAAAAGAATCCACTGTGCACTCAATGTTCTGCTGATCTGCAACCTTCTAGGAGAGAGGGCCCTGCAGCATGGGAGGGTAGAGATACGGGCCGACAATTGCTGTATTATCCTCGGAACGAGTGTCTGATGATTGTCTGTGAAAAGTGCTCTATTATCCTGTGAAGGATCGTATGTGAATTAGCGCCACCTAGTGATCACTCCCAGTACTGCACTATATTGCTCATAGGTTACAACATACTGTTGATCTCCAGGCCCAATGGCAGGCAGCCACAGTGCACAGCACATAGCATTACAGCACCTGCATTACAGCACCTGTATTACAGCACTAATACTAAGTGTGTCTGTTTGTTTTAATTTGCTTTTGATTACTTTATTTCAATATTATTATGAAGCCAATACAGAGTTTGTGTTATGGTATAGTATGGGTTATAGCATTATTTAAACCTATTTTTAATAGTAATTCTCAATCGACCAGAATGTGTTTTAATCTGGAATCTACCAATCCCAGTGAATGCCGGATAATGGGGAGTTTATGGTACTCAGCTTTCCTCACCCCTGGAACACTCCATTTAGTCTCTGGTTGTGAAGTTAAATACCCAGCAATTCCTTGAGCAGGCAGGGTGAGCGTTTCTGATTGAAGAGCTGTAATTGTAACAAGGCAGGCGGTGTGTTGGACCACTGGAGATAGACCAGTACACTTGCACAGAACAGCGGCCTTTATCTTCAGCCTGGGACGTTGAATTTTGGGCTGGAGTTAGAGCTCGATTACATAATTGAATCTGATTAAATTGAAACTACAATTGACTCTAAAAACGATTTTTTTAAAAACAACTACCGTATGTACCATACATAGAACATGAATAAATGATGTCACCTTATAATCCTCCATGAGTGTTGTCAACTGTTTTTCCAAACTATTGATGGTTCCAGTATGTCGTTGTACTAATGTGACAATACCACATAAAGATTTCACATCCCCCTGGCAAAGAGATATAGGAGTTTACACAAAATAAATATATAAAGAAATATGTTTTATGTAAGTGCCTACAAGAAAAACCACAGGAATTTTCTTTACGCACTGATAGAGTGTCACAAATCTTTAGATTTTCCAATATGTGAACACTTTTCCTACCCTGAAGTCATTCTGCTTCAGGTGAAGGAAACACAGGCAGTGTTCTACATCACAATCTCATCACTGAAATTCTTTGTGACTGATCACTTTGTTCACACCATATTCTTTATCACATGGGATTATACGCAAAAGAGTTGCAATCTTATGAGTAAGTGTTGGTTGTGATGCAATGTTCCAAGACTGTTACATTACAGAGAGCTTAAGCGACTCATCTGCTCCATAGATATGAATAGGATTAGCAGAAAAAGCCCTGATTTTTTAGATTGTTGGCCACATTTGCCCAAAGATTTTCACATGGTCTCTCACACTCTCCCCAGGTCTGTATAGCTTGCCTTTGTAGACATTGTGGTTGCGTACTTGCATGTCCTCACATCTCGAACACTAACAGTCTGCCCGTTCCTTACCTGCACGTTCCTGTGGGCAAACAACATTATCAGTTTGTAGCCCTCCTATGTGGTCTGTCCCCCACACTCCGAGTATTTACCAAGGTCAGACAAAGTGATGCAGACTGTTTGAAACCTTATAAGGTTTGCTTGGCAATTGTGGATGCTCTACAGGCTCCAATGGATCACTACAACCTGATATATGACTTTCCTCCTCTGAAACTCCTTTCCCGTCTGCCCTGCAGGATTGAGGCAGAGGTCATTTTGAGCTAGACAGATGTGGTACTGAGACCACATCACATTCCTGACAGACACCCCATGGGCTCTTCCAGATTGATCAGAGAATCATCACATTCTTGACAGACACCAGACAGATCAAATCTTTTGGCCCAAACACCAAATTACCAACATGGCTTCATGTTCACTTGCATACCTGTTAAAGCCCAGGTCCTAAGAGAATTGGGGCCTTTCTGATTCACCGATTTGCATGCTCCTTAAAGCTAAGAAGTATACCACCATCGCACATGGAAGCCATACTTTTCTCGGTGCAAGGCAAAACATTTTCATTCCAGGAAAAACTCCCTGTAAAGAATTTTGTCCCTTTCACAATCTGAATTAGGTCAAAATTTGGTCCTCAGTACCATTAAGGGTCAAATTTTGGCCCTTGCTATCCTGTTTCAGAGACTTTATCTCATTCTTTGGTTAGGGACTTTGTACAGGATTTATCTCATATAGACCCACCTGCACAACCAACAGTCCTCTTCATCTCTTATACAAATGGTTGTATTTCTTGTTGCCATCACCTCTGAAAGATGTGTATCTGAGTTGCTGCCTTATCTTGTAAAGAACCAATCACCACCTTACACAAAGATATGGTTGTCTTAAGACCTAGAACCTCCTTTCTTCCTGAAGTAGTTTCTGTTTTTCACCTCAAGCAGGACATAACAAGACGAGGACACTTCACTTTTACGGCTTGGGTGTGATTTTGCGTTGTGCTTGTTTATCTTGTAGCCATTACCATTAAAAAGAATGACCCTTTTTTTGTCATTCCTCACAGTCCCCATAACGTGGAACCATCATGTCGTTCTGCCATTTCTAGGTGGCTCAGACAGATCACTTAAACCTATTGGCTTAAAGACAAGGCACCATCTTTTTCTGCCATGCACACTCTTGTAGATCTGTAAGCGCCAGCACCAGTATCTGCGTAGAAAATGTAATGCACTCTCGAGGCAGCTCCCGCTGGTTTAGGGCAACAACAAAGCTGGAATGAAAAACAAAGAGAGCGCCTCCATCGTGTAAAACCATTTTAATTTAACGATAAAAAAAAGTTAAGATCATACTCACAAACAGATGGTGATATAAAGCATAGAATATGAATCAGCAAACGTAAATTGAGATCGTGTGTGTCTGACTCAGCTAGCAAGCTGTATAGCCTCCCTGGTTTACGCATTTCAGAGGGCACGCCTCCTTCCTCAGAACCAATCTTTTTTTATATCTTTGTTTTCCATTCCAGATCTGTAAGTACGTCTTGGGGTTTTGGTATTAGGCATGTGTTTCTCAGATCTGCAAGGCTGTCACCTGGTCTTCCTTCCATACATTGGTAACTTTTACCACATGAATGTTCAGGCCTCAGCTGGTGCAAGCTTCAGGCTTAAAGTCCTTCAGGCAGCTCTTGGAGTTTTTACACTTTTGTGTGGGCTGATAAGTGTTTTTGTTGATTTTGCCCTCCCCTCAGCTGGACTGCTTTTGGATGTTCAGTTGTCTCTGATTTACTTCTAACCCAGTGTCCCCACATGAACAATAAAGAACAATAAAGAAAACAGGATTTTTATACTTACCTTAAAATACATTTCTTGAAATTCATTCAGGGACACGGATCCCACTCTTCTGTGTTTGAGATATACTCCTAATATTGCTTTCTACAAATCTTAAGCATGATAGTAGTAGGAGTCATACTTTACTGGCTAATGCCTTTTTTTTTTTTTGCCAGTGCCCAATTCCTCCTGTAGCCTATAACCCAGTTGTTTGTGAATTACATCTGATCCTGTGTGCCTTAATGAACTCCAAGAAATAGATATTTAGATAAGCACAAAAATCCTGTGATTTCTATTTTCACAGTTCTAAGGCACTGAAAATCCAGTCCAACATTACAGAAGTATGATGAGTTTTTCTCAAGTAACGCTTTGCCATATATCGGGAAGTTTACCTGCTTCTCTTCCTTCAGAGTGTGATTTACTTCCAGAAGCTTTTTTGTTATTTCTTTTTCCTGACAAGAAATACAAATAAAAAAAACATCATATCACATGAATATTTTAATGAAGCATATAAATAATAACAAGGCTCTTCTATGGTTGTTACAGTGGTTCTGCAATGGAAATAAAAGATGGCAGATTTTTCATTATATGTTTCACATAACAGTGGATGGAAACCATGCTTTGTTTTACATAAATGTATATGTTGAATTTGTCAGTACACATTTGAAATATGTTACATAGACCCCGTTCACACTGAGCGATTTATCGAGCGATTTCAGCTCCAAAATCGCTCAAATATCAGCTCAATGTCGCTTGTCCAACGCATTTCAATGGAGGTGTTCACATCTCAATGTTGCCTCTAGCTCGTCGCTCAAGCTTTTATCTCGAACATGACCTATTTTTCGGGCGATTTGGCCCAATAGACTTTAATGGTGTAGCTCAAAGTCGTGCATGACATTGAGCGACATTACGCAACATTGTCGCACTACGTCGCGCTACAGAAGTGTCACTTTTGCACAGAAATATAGGAAGGAATGATGTCACATCAAGACTGCTTTTGATTGGTTACAGCTCAGTGTAGCAGCTACGAAGTCCCTGCGAAAAGTCGCACTACGTAGCGCGACAAAATGTGCACTGTATCTCAATGTCACTTAGCTCAAAATCGCTTTTTTGGATGTAGCTCAGTGTGAATGGGGTCTTATATATACGTTTTTTGCAATCTTCTCGTATACTTTATTTGTTAAAATTGGCTGTTTTCAGGCCTAAATATTTTTTAGAATGAATGGGCCTGGCTAACCTAAGGGTCCAGACTATGTTGAACATTTTAGGGCATCACCGCAGTAAAGTTTTACATAAGTATTCTCTCATACAACCCTCAAAGAAAAGTCACTTTTTTCACTCATCATCTGCTTGATATCACTTATATTATTCACTTCATTGGTAAAAGGAATAGGAAATGTCACATAGGAGGGATGCCTTAAAGAAAATCGCAGATATACCAGAGCTGCCATTGCTAACCTGCTTCTGGAAATACTAGTTGCTTGCCAGAACAAGAAATTCAGATGTACCCATCTGCATATTAGTTTTAGGCCAGTGACCCAAAATTTTAAAGCAGGATAGTTGGTGTGACAGACAGGCAACTGGCATTAAGGCCCCGTTCACATTGAGCGATTTATCGCGCGATTTTTGTAGCGATATCGCTCATATTTCCGCACTATATCGCTCTATGTAGCTTCACCAATACAATTCAATGTAGCTGTTCACATCTCGTCGCTCAATATCGCTCAATATCGCTTGTAGCTCGTCGCTGGTAGCTTGTCGCTTCTACATGACCCTTTTTTAGAGCGATTTTGAGCGATATTGCTCCTGATTGCATACAGCCCAATAGGAAGATGTCGCGCGACACGTCACTCAATGTCGCTCAATGTCGCTCAAATATGAAGGGTTCCAGCCTTTGACTCCTGTACCCCCTTATACTCAATGATGATAACCCATCCTGCTGTTGTTCACCATACCGGAGAGCCTTAAACCCAACATTGGTTCATACAGAGAATCACTATCTATATGATGGCATCTCAACAGTCAAGAGTTGAAGTGTTATGGGTAAAAGTGTAAACTGCATCTCCTAGTGAAATTCAGATACTGTAAGATCAAACAAGGAATCTCCATGTAAACTGGATTTATGGGTATTTGTGTTTATGGGACAAGATACCTTTTGAGCTCCAAATGTAAAAGCAAGGTCTTAATACACATGATATCTGAAAGAATCTGCTCTTTTTCAATGAAAACCATACAATTTAAATGAAAAAGGTCTTGAAATATTGTGTTACATAAAAAACAGATTCCTGACAGAGATGTGCTTTGAACTGACTACACTTTCATTTGTCTGTACTTCCGAACGCTGAAACATTCATATTAGTCTAAGTGCTGTGAATTTCTTGGCAAATATCCTTATGGGAAGGGAGAAAATAGTTTTTTCTTCTCTAGCATGAAAGAGCTTCTCTGAACAGCCAACAATTACCAGACTTACCAAACATGTGGACATTGCAGCAACATAAGCAGATATATCTCTGGAAAGGACGCAATCTATTTATTGCAAGAATCATCAGAAATATGCAGTATAGACACATCACGCCAAATGCTTGAGATTCTGCTACACACTTTGTAACGAAAGTACACTCTGGTCTTACCGTTTGAAGTCTTTCCTTCAGCTCTTTCAGCTGCTGTTCTTTCTCAAGGAGACCGATCTTCTCCTTGCTTGCTCTTTCCTGATAGGTCACTTTATAGTTCATAAAGTCAGAAGACAATTTTTTTAGCGCCTTCAAAGAGACACAAAGCAATTCTACTGGTTTAGTGTTCCAGATCAAAAGCAGATTGCAGTCATTTATTTTTTTCTTTAATAAAATACATGATTCCTGGCTGTTCCCTTATTTTGAGGTTTATTCTGCTGAAAATGTAATAATTAATAACATTTAATAATTTCATAACATCCTTCATGGAACTGTGCCAATCTGAAAACTGAATTTTCACTTGTGATTTATTAGGATGATCAGAACCAGCATACGTGAGAATAAATAGAGTAAACAAAAAGGAGTAAGCTTTGTTTTTACTAGCTTTCAGCAAAATATTCTACTGCATATTGTTAAAAAGCGTTTAATGACAGTCCAGCTCAGAATGGACAGGCTGCATGTTATATGATCCTAGAGATTTACACACACTATTGGCTAAATTCTCTCTAGCTCACTGGCTCTCGGCACCTATACAGGGCACGCAAGGGAGCTGTGCAAGCAACACACATACGGACGGAGCTCCGCTACAGCACAGCAGCCCACACTGGACCCTAGGCTGAAGTGTGACTTGGATCGCCAATTAATGACCAAGGACAAATGTGGGTCCTGAGGTTACACAGGTTGAGAACCACTGCACTAAGCCATTGTGCTGCCCATGTAATCTTCACAAAAGTATACCCAAGCTTAAAGGAAATATTTCTATTCTGGATAATTCCCTAAACTCAGTTGAACCTAAGACTACAAATCTCTATAAAGTGCATCTATCTATAGTCTCAATCAGCGTATGCAGAATCTTGAGGCAAGCCAGTCTACAATGTAAAAAATTTAAATGTAAAAAGCCTTAACACTAGATAGGGGTCTGGTATGGATTTTAAAGGAGGGCCCCATGCAAAAACACAAAAAAAATGGGGTTCCCCCATTAAAATCAGGAGCCCCCTTCACAACATCCCCACTTTCCCATCAGAATCCTGCCCTTCACATCAGAGTTCCCCTTTACATCAGAAGCTACCTCCTTTCAAATCAGAGTCCCCCCTCTCATACTAGGCGCCCCCCTTCACACTAGAGACCCCTCCTTTCACATCAGAGTTCCCAATTCACTTCAAAAGCTCCTCACACATCAGAAACCCACCTTCACATCAGGGACCCTCTTCACATCAGAAGCCCACCATTACATCAGGAAAGCTTTCAAATCAGATTCCCTGCCCCTTTACATCAGAGCCCCCCTTTCACAATAGAAGCCTGCCTGCACCATGGAAAGACATGAGACTGTGTGAAGATTTTGAGGCACCCCTGATGAAGGTACTCTTGGTTGAGAAAGGCTGGTCTAAGTAGCTGTTTCAGCAGACTCTGTAAAACATTTCCCTCTAGGGCTGTCAACATTTAAGTCGGGTATACACGCTTCTATTTTCCTTGTTCAAATTTTATAGCTGAATTAAGAAAATAAAACAGATTCCTTCATCAACGCTTACAAGCACTGATCGAGGAATCTCCCTCTGTCAAAATACCTGAACAGAGCAGGCAGCTCATTGGTTGCTAGCTCTGTTTGGTTGACAATTTTCCGTCATGCTACTTTGATCAGCTGACTGGAGGATGCCAGTTTGAAAGGTGCTGACAGCGGCACCCACGCATTATATTTAGAACTGCTTTTACTCAGCTTTACATGTGCAGCAAAAGGATTATCACACTTTCTATGGGGAAAATGGAACAATCGCCAGTCGGTCCCAAAGATTTGCCAAAACCTCTGGGAGTGAGCACTCGCAATACTCACTTCTGCTATTTGTTTCCCACAAAGGGAGCCCAACGCTGTCTACTGTTTGAATCTGTTTTATCACTTGTGAAAATTGGCCTGTGTATAGGAGTCCTAAGCTTGCTTTCATAAAGAAGCTTTGTATTGTAACTTTACTAGTCAATTAAGTGCACAGAAAACTTGACAACCTTGTGCTTATCTGCCAGTCAGCAAAAAAAGGCCTAATTTACTACTTGCCTAAATAGGCCCCGTTAAGCAATTGCCTTTTTATCAATGCACACACTGTAGATTTATAGGAGTTTGGCTGTACAGTATATATAGCATGTATCGGATGACATACTTTGGAAAACAAGTTAATGAAAAAGCTCCAAGCGCAGGAGATACTTTCATCTCTTTAAATAAGTTATAGATTCTTTAGCCATAAATATTGTGCCCTTCTCTAGTTCACCCCTCTCCTTCCCCTTCCAGGGGTAGTCTGTTTTATATCTCTCTCTCCTTGAGTGCTCTGACATTCACCCAGACGAATAGCAGAGGTTATGAATGCTGTTTGACGATAGTATCAAGAATTCTTCATAATGCCACAGTGGTAACCAAGCATTTCGTGTAGTAATAGTTTTATCTAGCCACGAAGTTTGGTCTGTTTAACTTTTCTCCACAAAACTGGAATTCCATCTTATCGCAGACCTGTGGCTCAACTGCTCTGGACAAAATCAAATAACGATACAGAAAAAAAAGAAAAGATAGTCCTATGGCTAAAAATCAAACACTTTGTCCAAACTATACGTAACACAACATTACCTTTTCACATGAATGTGTAAATAACACGAAGGAGAGTGATAAAAACGCTGCGCGGGGACCATAAATCCAAATTCAATCTTAAAGAGTAACAAAAAATTATTCTATGTGTTTCCTACAGTTTACATAAATCGACTAAATCCAAGCTAATCCTGAAAAAACGACTTGTTATATTGTAGAGTTATGTGAAGACTGAGCTCATGTTATGTTTGTAAGCTCCAAAAATATTATTATTATGCAGTGAATAGATATACGCAGCTGTTAATCTAAAGCAATAAAATCCTAAAAAAATGTTTGTAAGTTTCACATTTTTAGATTGTAAGCCCTCATGGGCAGGGCCATCCTTACCATCTTGTCTTGTATTGTATTGTGATTGTAATGTCTTCCTTATATTGTAAAGCGCTGCACACACTGTTGGCGCTATATAATTCCTGCATAATATTATTGTTAATTATAATAATAATATAGCTATCAATGCTTCCAGGTTAGTTAATTTTGTAGAGAATCATACAATTCACGATACACGATGATTTGACTTCCTGACTTGTATCATTTTCCACAGATCTGGTACCTTAACTATTAACAGAAATGTATCTTATTTGTGTATCACTCGGCTGTAGATCCTCAAATCATCTCTGAATTGGTGCTGACACCGTCCTTCCTTCTGGAGGGGGGCTACTTTTCTTCCCCATGGTTCCTATGTATGTGTTGTTCAGTAGCCACTGCTCCAAGCTCGCTCCCATGATGGACTACAATCTAGGTCTCAGAAGTTATAATCCATCATAGGAGCATACTTGGAGCGGTGGCTAAGTTAGAACACACACAGGGACCAAGGGAAACAAAAGTAGCCAACCCCCAGAAGGAAGGACGATGTCAGCACCAATTCAGAGATGATTTGAGGATCTACAGCCGAGTGATACACAAATAAGATAAATTTTTGTTAATAGTCAAGGTACGTGAATGTATTTTTAAGATTTAACTCCTGAGTTTAGTGTCACTTTAAAGAAAATTGCAGACAATTTACAGAATATAATATTACATAGGACAGAACACTAATATTTTGGTATTTAATAAAGTATGTATCTGAATAAAAGTTATGAGCACAAATGGGCATACGTACAGCTAATCTACAAACAAAGCCAACATTCAAGTTAATCTGAATGGGCAATGTAACTGGATTCTTTAATAGCCTACCCCTTCTGCTACTGATACTTACCTTCTCTTCATTACCCTGCCAACCTGTTCCCCTGACGGAGCCTTGAGTAAACAGCCCTGTATAAGCTTAATGTCGGTCTATTTCTAAGCTTCCAATGGGCTCAGAACACAATCCACTGTGACAGTGCTCAGGTCTGGTGATTAGCTGTTTAGGTGTCAAGCATTTCAATGTAGGAGGAAGGAAAGAGGGTCACATGCTCACCCACCCCTGGAAGTACCAGGTATGGCACAGAGCTTTGCCTGCCAAGATGTGGTGTGCTATCAACTGAACTTGTTCCTGTACTATGAATAGGCAAATTACAAGTTTATGTTAAATTCAAGCTAAATAAAACAATTTCCAATATCTGCATATCATTCTGTTATACCTCTTTGAGGTGATCAATCTCTTCATTTTTCTGTCTGATTTCAGCTTTCAGTTTTTGTATGTTTTCAGTTGCTGCCTTTACTGTAAACACAAGAGAAAAGACACATTTGTTATAGTTATTAAATATATTTCTATTAGTGAGTAGACTATGGGGTCTATTCACAAAGCTGCCGAGGGCAGCCGAGTGAATGACCGATCAGAAGTGAAGTGAGCCGAACACCGTTCGGCTATTCACTTCAGGCTGGTACGAAACATACATTCATTACTATTAGTCTTGTATAGGCCATTCAAGTGACGGTTCTGGGTCAGCTCCTGGGAACATACTCTGTGCTAGGTAATCTTTCTGAGTATATTGACAGGATAGATGCCTTGGGCGCACAAAGCCTCAAAATGTACAAATTCCGATAACTTTTTCTCTATTTTTGGAGCTCTTTGGAAATTTCTGGGTTAATTCAGATAGAGAACTGTAAGCGAAAGACGGTGCAGGAGATGCTCAGAGGAGTCTGAAGGTTTTTTAAAATTCAGGATGCATGAAACCATCTCTCCTTTCTCGTTTGGCAATTTGTAGCAGTTGTTATTATAAAGCAGACCCAAAACTGCCTCCAATAGTGCATTCTAGCAGCAGTTTGTACTAAAATGATGACATGATACAAGGAGTAAAATGATGAATGAACAAAGAATCATAGAAGTTGTAAACTACTTACTGCTGCAAGTCAGCGCTCAGCACTGCTAACTTAGCACTTGCAGTGGAAGTGAATGTGGATGAGAGAGCACTGAGTTTGACGGAGGTGGGGACAGAGCACCAGCGGCCATTTTAACTGTAGTCACACCTGGCAGCACTAGAGGAAGGTGCCTGAACCCAGATGGAGGAAATACATTCAGTGTGGGAACCTACAATTTAATGTTTTGGGGGAAAAGCACACCAAATATTCGTTGGAAAATAGTATTTGTTAGTCACAAATATTATCCTCCACCATTTTGCTTAGCACTGTGCATCCAAAGTGTTCAGTTAAGCTGCTGCAGCAAACTGAAGTGCAGCAGAATAGCTACTCAGCGCTTGGCTAAGGAACTGAACACACCTCTGGTCCTGTAATTGTTTTCCTCAAGAGAAGGGTCAAAGTCCAGGTAAGTAGATCTTTTGACAAGATGCCTATGATTTTGGTCATTTGACTGAACTGGAGGGGACCATGGACAGCATTTTCTCCAGGAAAGGTCCCTCCAGATTCTCTTTCTCTTTCCCAGTACAGGTCTGTTTTAAGCCATGTTGCCCCAGTGTCAGGGGAGCGCAGTAGTTGTTTGGGGCTCTCTGAGTGCATCCATTTTATTCCATTTTGTATAGTATCTGAAGAGATAGTTTAGGTATGAAGGAAGAGACATCTTGACTAGACATACAGTAATAGATATGCCCCAAAACAGTTAAATGGTAATATGGAGTTTTTTTTATATATCTGAGACAAAGATAACTGTTCAATGGTCATATGACCACTATAAAATCATTTACTGGATAGTTTTTAACAGTGTCACTATATAGGAAGCACAAACAATCATGAAAAATATAAAAACCTGGGAAACCAACATTTCTAGAAACGGGCTTGAAATCTTGGCAATAAGATATTCTCTTGTCACAGGTTTCGTTAAAGTGGAAGTAGCATCAGTAATGTGTAAGTGTAACATTTACAAGTTCTTATTACAGATATAACAGTACTCATCCAAGCAATGCCTTCATTAGAAGGGCAGCGGTGTCTTTTCTCAAGTATTACCTCAAGCATCTAATTCCTGCACTTTGTATCTCAGAGACAATTACATTATATACATTCTGCTGCCTGTGCAGTTCTTTTTTTGTTCACATATGTCTAACACAAGTAAACCCCTGCTGCTGCCTCTCACCTTGTGGCTTGCTGCAAAGATACAGCGTTTCAGTCTGATCACTGAGGGTAAAAGAGGCTGAGGGAATTATTCCTCCTGCCTGCAGCAGACTGAGAGTACCATCTCAGCCTAAGAAAAGTCACGTGACTGGAGCTTATAGAATGTTTGTTAGCTTAGCTGTTTTAAGATACTTTTGCTGTAAGTTACTAAGAGGTCCACTTTAAACATGCAATCATATTCAACATAGGGTTTTTAAAAGGTTCCTCTTGAACGGATTTACCATTTTGCTCAAGCTCTTCATGCACCTCATTTACCAAAAGGATTTGCTGTGTCATATTTTCAAAGCATTTTTCACATTCACCGAGCTGTTTCATGTGGTCTTCCTTTGCCAATATGTGCAGTTGCAACTTTTGCTCCTGTTTGTGAAAAAATATTACATTGTAATATAATGAAATCATATCCAATGTATTTTGCATTGCTAACTTAAAAACACTACCAAATTATAATCTTTACTATTTACCACAAAAGGCATTAGGAAAACTCTACAGTACTTAACATTAGTACGGCAGCTTCGGAAGGACAATTATGGGTACAGCGAATCACCTAAAGTTTTTGTATATCTCTTAAAAGAGAATCTTTAATGGAAGAAATAAGGAGGCTGCCTTTGCTGCCCTCTTTTACAAATGTTGGCTGCTTTGATGTCTCTGGCTAGAAAATTGTTTGAATCACCAACCTGGAACAAGCCAGTAAGGCCAAAGGGAAGTCAGAAGTCCTTATCTGCATGCAGTACTTGTGACAACCAGAAGAGCTACAAAACACTTTGCAAATTATAGCAATTGTCAACCCTCCTTAAAAACCTTCTCATCCCTCAGATGCCACTTGTATTCACTCCTGGTGAAACCCGGCCTCAGGACGCCCCACTATGCACCTGTCAGGCTGGATGGCTGGGCCGGGAGTGGAATCCCTTGGCAGGGACGATAGCAAGTCCAAGAGCGAGGTATCAAAAGGGCAATCCAAAAGAATAGTCAAGTCCGGGTCCTGGTCGAGGCAGGCAGCGAAGTTCACAGGCGTGGGGTCAGGCGAAAGGGTCGGTAGACGGGAGGTCAGATCAATCACAAAAGGCAGCTTCATACAGGGGGGCTGGGTGTTCACCATGAGGTAGAATAACTCAGCAATGAGTCAAGGCTCTGACCAGCTTTATATACACAGGGATTCCCGGGACCACCCCCTGGCTGACGGGGCAACCAGGAAGCTTCCTCAGTCAGGAGCCAATAGCAGGGCTGAGGCGGATGGTGAGTGCTGAGGACCTCCCCCAGCCTAAGTAGCACCTGGAACGCTGAGGGGCGCAAGCGCACTATACGTGCGCTCCTGCGCATGCGGCTTGCATACCGCGCACCTCGCACCGGCAAACCCAGCGCCAGATGCCCTGTCAGGAGGAGGAGCCTGCGTCCGATGCCCGCGCTGGCGAGCCTGGTGAGGAATGGCCCCCCTGGGTCCCTGACAGCACCAGTGGTTCAGGGTGTTAAAGTGACATTAAACCCTCAGATTGTTTAACATAAACCAATACTGTAATGTGTGCCTTACTGTAATCCATGGTTGTTTCCCTTCTCTTTGCTGCTCTTTCTTTTAAATCTGTATGTGTTCTCATGCTGGGCAGAACTTCTGTTTTGCAGCAGACTGCCTTGTCTCTGCAATGGATACATGGTGTCTGTATTCAGGTTCACAACCTGAGCCAGCACTACAGGAAGAGGCACTCAGCTGCAAAGGGAAGTTCTCCCCAAGCATGAGAAGAGATACAGATTTAAAAGTAAGAGCAGCAAAGAGAAGGGAAACTACCATGGATTACAGTAAGGCACACATTACAGTATTGTTTTATGTTAAAAAATCTGAGGGTTTAATGTCACTTTAAGAAAGACTCACTGGGGTTGAATTAGTAAAGGCAGATAGGTGGTTCACTTTGCAATAGAATTTTATTTTCTTCTTTCCTTGCTTCGTGAATGTGGTGAAAATTCACTTTGTATAGAATACATGATCATGAGAAAGGGAATTTAAAAAACAGTATATTTTTGCAGGATGTGACCGGGTAGCATCTTGGATCTTTTTTTTTTCTCTCCCTCTCCCCCGTTTTTCCTCCTCCCCCTTCCTCCTCCCCTTTCTACCCTCTTACTACTCCTTCTCCTCTGTCCACATTTACTTGGTGTCTTCTCCCTGTGTAGTGGGGTTCAGATAGTTCTCATTCTCCCTGCCACAGAATAATACTAATATGACTCTTCTACTGGGACCATTAAGCTGGATCTATTCCACCCTTGCAGAATTACATTGTCCTTTGTATTGCTGAGTCCCCCTTTTATCTGTTGTCTTTCGTTTTATTGTCGCTCGTTTCTGTAAACTTTTATGCAAAATTCAAAATAAAGACATAAAAAAACAACAATATTTTTTCATGATTGGATTATGAAAGCCAGCAGAGCTTTACCTCATTCACAAACCTAAAGGGAAAATTCCCTTGCAAAGTGAACAGCCTACTTGCCTTTAGTAATTCAGCCCCACTCAGTGTACTGGACCCCTCCCCTGGTAACCCCACTGGGAATGACTGCCCTCAATTTATTGGAATTTGTTAGTACTTTGACCCTCCCTGCACCCTTAGCTTAGCCTTTTACTAGATTTACAACATTACTACATTCCAGATAGAATACAAACCAACTCATACAGAATTCGTTTTTTTTTTTTACTTTATTGTAAAATGTATAGAAACCACCAAGCGTCTATCTCCCTTCGTTTTGTATTTACGGCCCCTATCATTGTATTTTAATATTTTGTATTTTAAACCAAAATGAATTGTATGTATTTCCATGGGCCTAACACATAAAGTTGTCTGGGAAACATCTATAAAGCAATAGGTCTGTGAAGCAACCACTTACATCCTTTCTCTTGTTTTGCAATGGATTCATGACAGTTGAAAACTTATATTAGGTCACTTTGCATACACATTATATATACCATCTAATATCTTTTACTTGATGCTATCTTATACTCTATTAGCAAAGTATATATTATCTGTACATTTGCTCAAATTAACAAAAGAATACTGTAACACATGTCCGGAGGTGGCTCTAGACTTTGTGAGGCCTTAGGCGAAACTCAAACATGAGGCCCCCACTTACACCCATATTGAAAGAAAATGCAAACAATAATTAAAAATGAACTACATGGTTGTTTCCCTTCTCTTTGCTGCTCTTTCTTTTAAATCTGTATGTGTTCTCATGCTGGGCAGAACTTCTGTTTTGCAGCAGACTGCCTTGTCTCTGCAATGGATACATGGTGTCTGTATTCAGGTTCACAACCTGAGCCAGCACTACAGGAAGAGGCACTCAGCTGCAAAGGGAAGTTCTCCCCAAGCATGAGAAGAGATACAGATTTAAAAGTAAGAGCAGCAAAGAGAAGGGAAACTACCATGGATTACAGTAAGGCACACATTACAGTATTGTTTTATGTTAAAAAATCTGAGGGTTTAATGTCACTTTAAGAAAGACTCACTGGGGTTGAATTAGTAAAGGCAGATAGGTGGTTCACTTTGCAATAGAATTTTATTTTCTTCTTTCCTTGCTTCGTGAATGTGGTGAAAATTCACTTTGTATAGAATACATGATCATGAGAAAGGGAATTTAAAAAACAGTATATTTTTGCAGGATGTGACCGGGTAGCATCTTGGATCTTTTTTTTTTCTCTCCCTCTCCCCCGTTTTTCCTCCTCCCCCTTCCTCCTCCCCTTTCTACCCTCTTACTACTCCTTCTCCTCTGTCCACATTTACTTGGTGTCTTCTCCCTGTGTAGTGGGGTTCAGATAGTTCTCATTCTCCCTGCCACAGAATAATACTAATATGACTCTTCTACTGGGACCATTAAGCTGGATCTATTCCACCCTTGCAGAATTACATTGTCCTTTGTATTGCTGAGTCCCCCTTTTATCTGTTGTCTTTCGTTTTATTGTCGCTCGTTTCTGTAAACTTTTATGCAAAATTCAAAATAAAGACATAAAAAAACAACAATATTTTTTCATGATTGGATTATGAAAGCCAGCAGAGCTTTACCTCATTCACAAACCTAAAGGGAAAATTCCCTTGCAAAGTGAACAGCCTACTTGCCTTTAGTAATTCAGCCCCACTCAGTGTACTGGACCCCTCCCCTGGTAACCCCACTGGGAATGACTGCCCTCAATTTATTGGAATTTGTTAGTACTTTGACCCTCCCTGCACCCTTAGCTTAGCCTTTTACTAGATTTACAACATTACTACATTCCAGATAGAATACAAACCAACTCATACAGAATTCGTTTTTTTTTTTTACTTTATTGTAAAATGTATAGAAACCACCAAGCGTCTATCTCCCTTCGTTTTGTATTTACGGCCCCTATCATTGTATTTTAATATTTTGTATTTTAAACCAAAATGAATTGTATGTATTTCCATGGGCCTAACACATAAAGTTGTCTGGGAAACATCTATAAAGCAATAGGTCTGTGAAGCAACCACTTACATCCTTTCTCTTGTTTTGCAATGGATTCATGACAGTTGAAAACTTATATTAGGTCACTTTGCATACACATTATATATACCATCTAATATCTTTTACTTGATGCTATCTTATACTCTATTAGCAAAGTATATATTATCTGTACATTTGCTCAAATTAACAAAAGAATACTGTAACACATGTCCGGAGGTGGCTCTAGACTTTGTGAGGCCTTAGGCGAAACTCAAACATGAGGCCCCCACTTACACCCATATTGAAAGAAAATGCAAACAATAATTAAAAATGAACTGTATACATTGCATATTGTAAGACGAGCGTTTAATCCCAGCAGCCAGGAATTTACAGCTTCTAGAGCTAGAATCTTATTTCTGTCTCATATCTAATTCTACAAACAACTTTACGCAAAACCATAACCCTAAGGAAGTAACATGCAGAGGTCAGATTAAGTAAGTTTTCTTTTTTTTTTCTGACATCAGAGCCGCCGGCAGCCGTCAGTCAGAAAAAAAAATCAGCATAGGAATGCATAGCTACATTCCTATTGGCTATTTCACTTTGCAATAGCCAATAGCAAACTAGCTATTGCACCCGCCCACTGCTGCTGTCAATCAGCAGAGGGGACCTGAAGTTCTCCATCAGGTCCCCTTCTAGTGATTGACAGCAGCAGAGTAAACCTTTCCAGGAGAAAGTGTTTCCAGGAGAAAGTGCATGCAGCATTATTGCAGATTGCAGAGGATCGGAATGCATGCACTAATGTGTCACATGTTTGCGTGTCGGAGATCGCACTGTGGGCGGGGGGCATGGCTACACTGCCATTGAGTTCAATGCACAACCACGCCCCAAAACAAAGTGAGCCGGCCGGGTTGCGTTCCAGTGCATTCCAGAGGCCGAACGCACTGGAACGCACTCCTTAGGGTGGGACTGGGCCCTTAGGGCTTGTTCACACCAATTACAGTGCGTTCCAGAGCGGTAGCTGCTGGAACGCACCGCAATCACGCACAAAACTTACCCCTGCGTTCTAGGGTGGGAGGGGGCGGGACGGTGCATTGAAGTCAATGGCACCGCAGCCACACACCCCGGCCGCAGTGCGATCGCGGCACCCCGAATGCATGAAACATTAGTGCCTGCGTTCCGATCCAGTGCAATCTGCACAAAATAGTGCTTGCAGCATTTTTGCAGATCGCACTCGACGGGAACGCATGCACTAATGTGTCACACGTTTGGGTGCCGGAGATCACACTGCGGGCGGGGGGCGTGGCTGCGGGGCCATTGACTTCAATAACTCTCTCCTCTGCAGGAAAAGATATGTCGAGTGATATGTCGCGTCTGAAGTCCCGCCGCGCAGCTTCTCCCTCTCTCTTCAGTGACAGATCCAGGAAGGGGGAGGGGGGTTGCGGTGCGGTGGCTGCGGGGGAATTGCTGGCGATCATTCTCCCCGTGAGGAAATGGCTGCTCCCTCCCAGCCCAGGGGCGGACTGACCAGAGGCAGGTTAGTTGAAGCTGCAGAGGCGAGCTAGGCGGCCACGAGGCCCTCGTGAGCGCGAGGCCTAAGGTGACCGCCTAACTCGCCTAATTAGAGAGCCGCCTGTGCACATGTCACACATACGTCTTTAAGCAGTCACATATATAAAAACAGAAAACAATCACATGTTAATACTTTTTTTTTTAAAAAACAGATTAATTAAATGTACACTCTACTGTTAAACTACAAGCTCTCCTTCATTGAAGCGTGACCTCTTATAACACAACTTTGTTTTATGCAATGTCTATAGATTGAAAAATAACACTGCAAATGGATGTAATTACCAGCGATTGAACGCCTGTTAAATACCATTCACAAATTTCTATTAAAAGTCTATTAGATAAAATATATTTTATTTTTCTCATGAGCGTGCTTCTTTTTAGGTTTAAAAGTATTATATGTGCTTAAAGATCAGTAATAAATTGGGACTATAATCAAAAGGAATGGGTAACATAACATGAGCAGAGTTGAATATACAATGCTCATTTTTCATGTTTTATAAGGTATGAAATTAAACACAGCGAAATAAATGGAATATCATAATAAGCAAAGAAACAACAACTATTTTAAAATCACTTCCAACTCTAAGGCCGTGTTTGTCCTAAGCCACTTCTCATTGACATGTTTTAATTACATAATAAAATTGTCAATAGAATACTTACAGCAATTACAACATCTAGAAATGAGCTGCCCTGGTAGTAATATGGCTTTCACTGTACTTATCTCAAGGTGTCTGTGCTCAGAAAGTTTTATTATACACAGGAGTGAAAAGTGCAACTTTACAGCAAAATTAAACAAAGTCTTTAAGATATATAAATGTATCCGGGTACAAATCTGAACCTACACAAAACACAATTTGATTATTGGAAATACAGTGACTATACCCAGGGTCCACCTTAGGTTATATGGTGCCCTATGCAAAATTTTAGTATGGAGGATTCCTACCCCAGTGAAAAACGTGAATCTTGTTTGTAACAAGTTGCCTTCGTCTATACAAATTCCTTGAGCCTAAGAGGGTTATTCACAATAGCCCATACAGCTCCCGAAGGCGGCCGAGCAGCTCAGCCGAAACCCGAAGGCATATGCTTCGGCTCGACTGAGCCGAAGTGACATCCGAAGCGGGCAAAGTGGCCTGCCGACAGCCTCGCAACTTACAGCTGGGCGCAGTCAGCCGTGATCTCACGGCTGGCTCCACCCAGTTGCAATGACAGATCAGCGCCCCCAGGTTACCTGGGGACGCTGAACTGTCATTAAACAATGACAACTGGGTGGAGCCGGCCGTGACTCTAGCAGGTCCCAGCCAATAGGAAACAGTTGGGCGGAGCTAGCTGTCACTGCTAGATCCGTCCAATTGTTTTTTTTTAAAGAAATCTTTATTTATTTTTTTTAAATGTATCATTTATTTACATTTTAACCATTTATTTTCTACTTTTTTTTTTCTTTCTACTTTTTTCACTGATTTTCTATTCTGCTCGGTACCACAGAGGTAACGAGCAAAATAGCCGAGCCGAATGCCGCAAGACCGGTATTCGACTATTCACTCACTGCTGTTCGGCCCCTATGAGAATTGGCCGAACGGCAGCAAGTAGCCTGCCGAAGGTTCGGCCCAGCCGATGCAGATGCTGGATTGGCTGAGTCGAACGTGTTCTTCACTTCGGCTCAGTCGAACATGCTGAGCATGTTCGGTTGAACCGAAGCCAGCCAAAGCTAGCCGATGTACGGCTAATTTCAGCCGATGTACTGAGCAGAAGTGAATAGCCGAACAGCGTTTGGCTTTGTTCACTTCGGCTCCGTTATTCACTCGGCTGCCTTTGGCAGCTTTGTTAATAGCCCTCTACGTGTTAATTCGTAAGTGCAGTAACTCATGGCCACCAGTCAGAATAAACTGCCAAATCCAGTACAAGATGGATTCTAATTGGTTCGTATGGGATACTGTACTTCTTTAACACCTGCCCTCAAGTCTAAGCTATAGGCATGGCCAGTGCTTCTCGTGACTACAGCTGCAAATATTATTTAGTAGTTTAAGGTCCAAGGGAGTGTAGTAAACCTCCCTGGACATGGCCTGAAGAGGAATATCGACCCTAGATTGAACAGAAGAATGGTGCGAATGGTAGACAAAGAGCCATGGAAAACTTCCAAAGAGATACGAGGTGAAGTCCAAGGTCACGGTAAATTAGTGTCTGATCACACCATCTATTGCTTTTTTGAGTGACAGATACTCAAAATTAAACTACAATGCTGAAAGAAAAATATAAGAAAGAATTTGCTAAAATGCATTTTGACAAGCCACAATGCTTTTGTGGGAGAATGTCCTTTGGACAGATGTGACAAAACTGGAGCTTTTTGGCATGTCACATCAGCTCTATGTTCTATATGAGGCTTTCACAGAAAACAATATCATATCTGCAGTTAAAAATGGAAACGTGTTATGTTTTGGGGCCGTTTTGCTGCATCTAGCACAGGGCACCTTCAATCTGTGCAGAGCACAATGAAATCTCAGGACTATCAAGGAATTCTGGAGTGAAAGGTACTATTCACTATCCTCCAACAGTACAATGACCCAAAACACACCGCTAAAAGCACTCTAGAATGTCTAACAACAAAACATTGGACTATTATGAAGTGGCCTTCTATAAGCCTTGACCTGAATCCTAATCCGTGCATCTATGGAAAGAGCTGAAACATTCAGTCTGGAGAAGGCACCCTTTTACCCTTAGACAGCTGGAACTCAAGAAGAGTGGGCCAAATTACCTGTTGGCGGCTGCAGAGGTTTCCCTGAGAGCTAGATAAATCACTTGTTTGCAGTGATTGCCTGTAAAGGTTGCGCAACAAAATATTAGGTTAAGGGTCTCATCATTTTTGTCATGCCATTTTCATTTCTTTTAATATTTTAGAACATTCTGTTAAATGAAAAGCAAAGTTTTGTTATTAATAGGGAACAAATAATGATGGATGACAGTTCCTTTTTACTTGTCTACATCTGTATATCAGGGCTGTCGAACACGTATTGGCACAACCGCCCGTGTGATTCCCATGTATTGCTATGATTGTCAGTGTGTTACCTACATTTGTTATCTATTGCTTGGCTGTGCCCAAATATTGCCAATCATTGTCATTGCCCACATATTACCACAAAAGCCTTTGTGTGGCCCAATGTAACGTGTTGCCCAAATATTGTCACAAATGGCAGTGTATTAACTGCGTATTGTCACATATGTCCATGCATTATCTCTGTGTATTGCTATAGTGCCCTTTGAGTGAGTGTGTAACCAAGTCTGCACTGTTTCGTTTGGGGACCATATTACCAGTGTGGAGTGAGAGTGAATGTCCCCTGCAGAAGCACAGACAGCAATGAAAAGCTATAGGAAATTATTTTTTACTATGACAGCACTGGAAGAGATTTGTTTTTGAGTAAGGTGCCAGTTTTGGGGCTCACTGATGAGTGGTTGTGTGAGTCCTGGGCTGCTCAACGCTCTACAGGTACTGGGGAAGGTGTTGGTACCCCAGACCGGTAGTGTGTGTGTGTGTGTGCTTTCTTCAAATCCCACCAGATATTTTCTATGGGGTTCAAGTCAGGTGACTGTGATGCCACTGTAGAATCTTCCAAGACTTCTTCTACAACCAAGCCATGGTGGAATTTGAGGTATGCTTGGGATTATTTTACTTTTGGAAGGTCCAATGACTCCCGAGTTTCAGCTTCATCACAGACAGCATGATGTTTTCACCTAGGATTATCCCTATACTTGTAGCACCCCCCTGTCCACCAGAGGCCTGTGGTGGACCCCCAAAAGGGCAGAGAAGGCTAACATTTCACTCTCAGGGGTAGATCCTTAGGAAGTGAAGGGATGTGTGATCAAGAAAGTTGCGCGCCAGTCACTTTAACTACCTTTTTTAATGCTTTATTGCAGAACAACAACTGGGAAAGAGGGTTTAGGCCTTAGGACATCCATAGTAAAAATAGGACAGACTCCAGACACACCAATCCCTTTCAGACTTCCACAGTGAAGAATCATGAGGAGCACAGGCTGACACTGGGTAATTAACAGCTGATCAGGGATAGGCATAATGTTTAACAGCACTACAGGTTTACCTAGATTGTAAACTCCTTTGAAGAAGCAACTGATGTAGTTAGATCTATGTGCTCTGCAAGCTACTAAGAATCTTTACATACACTGCTGCAACTGTAGCAAGCTTTTCCTTCTAAGTAACATGTTATAGACTAAGCTTCAATGACTGTTCCTCATATCTGCTCTCTCATGAGGTGGAAAAGTTGGTTAGGCTAAGAATCCATTTTGTTTTGATGTTCAAGACTCCATTTGTTGAATATCTGAACAAAAGTCTCTATGTACATAAATTCACAGGTTTTGCATAATTTGCTATATTTGCAACTTGTTAGACTTATGAGCTGATGATTAATTGACCAATACTCCCAAATATGGTATAGTTTCAGACACCAGACCAAATCGGCCTACCACAAAAGAACCATTAGTTCCTCTAACCGAGTTAACCGCTTCATAGCTGTGATAAATAATCAAATATTATTGGATGATTTGTATTTCCTTGCCTGCCCAGTGTGGGATGCCACTGGGATGTGTCTCATTAATTATGCTAATATGCCTTTACTTAAACATGAATGTAACCTTTTTTGAGGTGTAGTATGCTGGCTATCATACTGTCCAACATACAGTATGTTGAATAAATCTTACTCATGCCAAGGACACAAATCTCTCTGTTCCTGTTCTTTTGCGAGGTCTGGTATTCCTGCCAGGACACTCATACCGATGGTCAGAAGATTGTATCAAGTCAAAGCATTTGCTTCATTTTGCTCTGAGGCACCATAAAAGAAGGCTACAGTAAAAATGATACTGCAGGCCTAATTGCCTCTAGATCTGTGGATTTTTTTTCAGATGTGTTTGTGTTGACCTGCGTTCTATGTGTATTGCAGTCTGTGTCTACAACTGAAGTAAATGCAGGCTGTGAACACATGGGAATGTATGTCTATTTTCAACCGCAGAACAAGGCTTTGCATCTGAATAAGATGCATCTACAAGCCTATGTGGAAAGGATTTGGATGCTCACATTCTGTAAACAGGTTTGGCGGGCACGTTGGTCTGAAATTATTAACATATAAGATATGTTTATCTTCTATCGGGTGTTGATGTTTAACTTGCATTCGGGTCAAAGGACGCGTTATTCAATTTCACCATATTCTGTGTGAAACCAGCCTTGCGTTAAAGATGATTTCCAGCCCAAATGTCAGGGTACTTAAAGCTAAATCAGACATTTATTTTTTAGCCGGTTAATTAAAATCCCCTTTTGTAATAGTCTGACAATATTATCGTTTTTCTTTCCAGCCGAGCAGAAGAATTTCACAGCTTTTATTCAATCAAGCTTGGCGGTGTGTCCACAGCGAGGCTTTCTATATTCGTCATTAGCACTAAAGAGCGGACCTGCAGCAGGATTTTCACAGGGAGCTTTGTTTTCATTCAATTATTTTAGTTGCATGACTTTTATACGATTCTAATAAATTGTGAATACAGTGTTTAAATACTGAGAGACCTTCAGCAGACACAATCTGATTTAGTGCAGCAACAACATAATATACATTACAAAATGAAAAGCATGTTGCAACAGGCTGGCTGCCTTGGGTCCTATTATTGCCAACCCCACCACCATGCACACAGTATTTTGGCTCATGAAAGCTAGTGGTCATTTATGGGGTAAAAACATTAGCAAAAAGTTTTTAGCATATAACTTTCCATCAATAATTTGTACACCAGGTCATTTTTGCTGTCCGTACATACATAGCACTAATGCTTCCAATCCATACGAAATTGGTGCTTTGATAATCACACCCAAAAGCCTAATTTTTATTTACTCCACCAGCTAAGCTGAACCCTCAACCCATATTTTGCCCCCCAGATAGCCATAGCCCTGAACACTGAATGTATCCCTTATTCCTAGAATACATGGGGACCATGGGGAAAAAAAGTAGTCCCCCTCCAGAAGAAAGGACAGTGTCAGCACCAATTCAGAGATGATTTGAGGATCTACAGCCGAGTGATACACAAATAAAATACATTTTTGTCAATAGTTAGGGTACTTGAATGCATTTCTAAGATTTTACTCCGAAATGTATTGCCACTTTAAGGAGGGATATGAATACCTTGTATAAAAACATACATTGTTCATATAGTGAACTTAGTGCAAAGTTGTTCACTTTAAGGTCAATGCAGAGGACAAGGGGGCACTATTTCCGTCTCAAATAAAAATAGGTTCCGCATACAGAAAGACTTCTTCAGAGTTACAGCTGTGAAAATGTGGAATATAAGTTTCAGAAAATTATAACAGCTTTGGACTGAAATGGAAGGGTCATTTTAATTAACACTGAATTACAAAATGGTTTCTGTAGCAATTATATATACTATATTATTTTTGTAACGAAAGTGGAGTTTTCCTATAATACAGACTGCATCTACAAAACTTTTTTAACTATTTATTTTTTAAGGAACCATTTTACATCAACAGGAGGGATTGGTTCTGGATGATCTGGTTTTACATAGAAACACACATTTGAAAAGTAGAAAGTTTTACTTTTTAAATTCTGCTTCATATATGATATGATTTTTTTTCTTCTATTTCCAATTTTCAACCGAGTGCATTATCGGTTAGTCAGGCTTTCATTCCTCCTGACTCATATATATGATGGTAATACTGGAATAGATGGTTTTACATTTATCAATGTCCTCCTCCAGAAATGATCATACTGGGCGAGGTCTCCCTATACCCTGAGCAAACTTGACAAGGTATTCTTGTTTTTACTACTTTTGCTTATTGGTTTCCAGGAAAGCCATTAAGTGGTAAGATATGAAAATATGAAATACATGGCTGAACAATGAATGGGATAGTGCTGTTAGGCTGTAACTTCTCTTGACAAGTTACAGCTGCTTGAAACATTTGTTGTGCAATGCATAAAGCAAGCTTCTAAGCAAAAAAATGAAAGAGAAAACATCTATCAACTTACTAGTGAGAGGTAAGACAAAAGCTACACATGCATCTATTAATTTTTAACTTTTGTGACCTAGTCACATGACCTATGCCTAGGCAGAGGATGTACCAACAATGAGGATCTTGGGAAAGGCAGACAGATTCAGTCTCTGGGTCATTATTGCAAGACTGAGCAGCTTTGGCTTTTACAGTTGTTGATGTACCTGTAGAGTAAAAGTACTGTACGGAGGCCGAGAATGGCACATAAAACAAAACTGGGGGGTAATCAATTATATTTTGTATTGTTACTTATTTTTAAATTAATACCACCAGACACTAGCTCAGCTTTAAAGTATGTATTACCCCCAAAGTTTTATCACACATATGCTGTATGTGTCTGATTTTCATTTTGTTTTTTATTAATCTATCTTGTTCATTTTGTTTGTTCTTTAATTGCTTAGAAATATCTGGAGATCCTGCCAGTTCCCCTTCTGACCTTCTTCAATGTGACCTTGCCAGGGAGAGAAGCAGATCCATGCTGGATTAGTCAGTTTGCATATCTGTTTTCCCCTTTGGAGATACAGGATGTCAAGCACACAAACAGGGTGCCTGTACCTCCCGTAATCAGTTTAGCGCCACGACCCCTGCTCAGCTTCTCTGGGTTGATTACCACCAGCTGCAAGCAGAAACCTCGCTATCAAAACAGCAGCTGATTGGAGCATACACAGACAAGGAATGTACATCCCACTGTGTGTGACATCAGACACTGCTCCAAACTTAAGAAAACAGGCACTCAGAAAAAGATAATCCCGATGTAACTTTATTCAATATGACATAAAAAGTGTACTAAACCTTGCTGACGCACTTCAGCCCTTCAACTGGCCTTAAACATATCATTAAAAAACCATACAAATTGGGAATTCACATCTTGTGTATTTTTAATCTTATGATTAAAGGGTTATTAAACACCCTGGTTTAAAAAAAAAACGCTTTAAAAGCAGTTTAAACTTACCAGTGTCTTCACCGCGCGCTCCAGTCCGAAAATGTGAAAATTCTCGGGCGGCCGCAAAGCATCTTGGGGCGGGCGCATGCGCAGTTCACATTTTCGGCCCGGGGCAGACGAGGAGAAACGCAAGGTAAGTATATAGATGCAGGCACCCGCATGCAGACACCGTGGGACAGGAAGTGCCAGCAAGGACAGAGGAGTCAACGCTGGATCGGAGACCCGCAGCAGCGCTGGAGGGACAGATGAAAACGACAGGAAAGAAGATCAGATTAAGAGACATCATTTAAGGTAAGTGCTTTCATTAACATTGGGGGGAGGGAAAAATATATTTGACTTTAATGTCACTTTAAGGCTGTTGAAGGGCTGAAATGTGTTAGTGAGGTTTTGTACGTGTTATTAGAAAGATGATCTTTTCCAAGTGCCGGTTTTCTTAAGCTTGGAGTTCGTTTGGGTCTGGCAGAGACTTTCACCGAACACTGTTTTTTCAGTACAGATTTGGCAGAGGAGTTTGAACAGGCTCCTCTCTTTGTATGTTACATCAGACACTGCTGCCCCCCAGCTTGAGGACAGAGATGAGAAGAAAGACTGTGTGGTCACGTGACCACCAAATAAATCATAGTACAAAACATTTGTTTAAAAAAAAATGCTTTAAGCAAAAATGTTAAGCAATTAATATTTTCTACATTAAAATTAGATTTTATTGTATTCTGTTTACACGCACATTGCATTCAAAATCTAGTTTAATTCAAACAAAACAATCTGCCTGTGAAAAATAATGAATACTGCTGCTTAGTTACAATGTTATTTGTAGGATCCATCATAACTGAAAAAATACATGTCTAAAACAACAATAGAGCATTATTTATAACCTTATGAATAAAAGTATCAAATAAGCAGCCATTGTACTATGTTACTTACCATTTCATCTACCTTTTTCTGCAAGCTGTATTTCGACAGCTGCAACAAGGAAAACATATAAACATTATTTACATTATTATACCAGCAAGAGCCAAGTAATGTGTTCTCAATAAATAATAGGCAACTTTTCACAGCAAGTATTGTCAATCGGTAAATAGTGATATCAGCCGGGAAACACTGCGACTGTGTAACTCGGTTTACCTTCATCTTGGGGGCTGGTTTACTTGAGAATAACTCAATCAATTGAATGAAAGTGTATGTCAAGGCACAGAAAACAAATGTAAATGTCACAGCAAGCCCATACATCTCCTCTAAACTCTCACCAATCCCTAACCTAAAATCCCAACTTCAGACAAAACTATTTTTATTGTGAATAGGGGAGGGTTAGAGACGTTGTCAGGTTTACTTGCTGCCTGTCTCACTTTTGGTGAGATTGCTTAATATATTCCCATCCCATTCCTGGGCAAAACCTGGAGTATAACGATGCTGTAGCATGTAAGCTGGTGTTAGCATACAGATAAGAACATATGTTGCCAGCACACCAATAATCTCTAAAGGATAGTCCAAGCATTTATTAAAGCAATCATATCAGAAACAGTGCTAGTGCAATGCTTTAAGGGCATGCAGGATCTCTTTGGCAGGCATGTAATGCCATACCACATGCCTGATGAAGAGGTCCTGCATGGCTTTGAAACATTGCCTGTGTGATGTGGTTGCTTCAATTGCACACATTGGTGTGATGTGGTTGCTTCAATAAATACCTGGATTATTGTTTACACGTCCATGTTGTGCTGGCAACATATGTTCTTACCTTTTGGTGAGATCTCCCCTTACCTCCTGTCAGGACAGTAAATGATGGGACAGCAGGATAGAGACAAAAACACAATTTTAGTAGACTGGGGAAGGGTTAGAACTTGTATCAGTGTTTTCAGAGCTGTCCATGCCTTCCTGACCTGGTTACCACCATACCCTCCATTTCTTGCACAGGCATAATAAGAACAGGAACTGAGAAAAAATCTCCCCAATTGGATCATCAACAAAAACCAGAATTGTTGACTCTCCCCTACTCTATCCAAAACTAAAAAAAAAACAATTTGGGCTAGGGTTAGGCTTTACCCAACAACCTAAAATGTACTCTTTATGCTCAACCTAACTAACATTGGACTTTATAACCAAACTTTATAACCCCTTCTCTAATTTTGGACCTTAACCTTAGGCCCCATGAAAGGTGCTGTTTAACTATGCATTAATGCAGTGCATGGTAATGCATAAAGTTAAGTCTGCTTCGTTACAGTGGCATTTATTTTGAATGATATATCATTGCACCTAGGCAGCACACCTGTGAACAATCTGTGCCTAGTGGTGCACTGCTCCCATTGCTTGCAACATTTTTTCTGATTGTGCTGGACCGGAATGCAGACGTTGAGGTGCCACGTGTTCTGGTGCGGATGATCGCACTGCGGGCAGGGGGGGGGGCATGGCTGCGGTGCCATTGACTTCAATGCACCGCCATGCCCCCTCCTGCCCCAGAACGCAGGGAGCCGGCCGTGATGCGATACAGTGCGCTCCAGCACCTAACCATGCACTGTATATGGGGTGAACAAGCCCTCAAATATACAGACTGTAGATAGACAGACAGATTGAGACAGACAGACAGATTGAGACAGACAGATTGAGACAGACAGACAGACAGATTGAGACAGACAGACAGATTGAGACAGACAGATTGAGACAGACAGACAGATTGAGACAGACAGATTGAGACAGACAGACAGATTGAGACAGACAGATAAATAGACAGACAGACAGACAGATAGATAACTGAAGTCATTTTTTTTTTTTGATAGACCAAGGGAGGGTTATAACCCCTGTACATGTTTTTGCTATCTGTGTCCTATTGGGGAAATTTCCCTTCACTTCCTGTCTGATCAGCAGAACAGGGAGTGAGAGGAAATCCCTCCAAAGTAAGAGAAATTCAAGGTGGTCAGCTAGATCACCAGAACTAGTGTCCCCATTGGAAGATTTCCCATCTATTCCTGTTCTGATGACAACCCAAATTTGAGATAATCTGTCACTTTCAGTGATAACGGTCACCAGGACAAATAAAGAGAGTGAATCTACTCTACACAGACAGCAAAACAAAAAACAAAAACAAAAAACTGACAGGGGTTCTAATCCATGTCTACTCTATTCAAAACTAAGAAAAAAAATGTTTTGGCTTCAGTTGCACTATAAGTTACAGCATAACCTCTTTGGCATTCATGCTGTATATACATTATTTGTAAGCTCGCACAATCAGGGCCCTCTAACTATCTTGTCTTGATTTGTATTGTAACTGTACTGTCTTCCTTTATATTGTAAAGCACTGTGCAAACTGTTGGCTCTATGTAAATCCTTTAAATTAAAAAACTGTGGTTATGGATTTTAAAGAAAAATAAAAGCACCAAAGCACAGACATCAGTTTTCTGCACACAAAAAAATGGAATAAAGTTGGTAAAGGCTAAGGTTGATGAAAGGAAAAGAGGATGCTAATATCTACATTTATTATTTCCATTTAAAATCAGATCAGCTACATACAAACACTGCATTATATTTTATTGTGACAGGTATTAGTGTTTCATTTACAGGTCACAATACCATTTAGTACAAAATGTCATTCCTTCACTTAGACGCTGCTACTCAATTTCTCATCCGACTGTGTATCAGGAGCAGTGGACCATAAGATACACTATACATCACTTCCACTGTGGCATGTAGTGAACTAGGCAAAACAAATCCCAACTGATCTCATGGATAAGGTCATCCTTGTGGGGGCTTTTATTTTAGTTCCAAAATGCAAGAAGCATTAGGAAGATGATTGAGCATGCCCAGGCTGACAGGGAAAAACAAGCTATTTGCAGAAGAATTTTAATAAGGATCAAATGCACACTATACCTCCAACAGTACAATTAACCAATACTAACAACGAATAATGCTTGGCATCCTTGGTCTGATGCAACTGAAAGCCGGATAATTGGAAAATTTTTAAGGGTTTCTTCTTTTAATTTATTTGACTTAATAGGAAAATATTAATGATTTGGGAACAATTTTATTAAGCTGGTTTTCAGGTGTACACAGTTGTTTTGGATTTGTTTTTTTAACCATACACAGGGGGGAATTTAGCTAAACTGGGGCAGATAGAAAAAAAAAAAACTTTGAGCGTTTAATAATACTTTAATCAGGCAAGGTAGAGGTGTGAATGGAAGCAAAAGCTTCACTAGCAGCTGGAAAGAGTAGGTCTCCCAACACTCCAGTTGCATGTCAAGAGAATATGTCACGTCACCGCTTTTCCAGTTCATTATTTTCTGAACTATTTCCAACTGTTTTTGCCATCTTTTAGTGAACTATGCCAATCATATAAAGATGCCGGCTTACATGGGCTTTAAAAACATAACGTTTCTACCAGATTGGCAAACGTGTTTAGCTAATTTTCAAAAACTAGCCCACTTTATTTAAAAAATACACCACGTTTGTCTAAAACATTAAAGACTGGTTTACTGTGTATCCAGTGTGTCAGTTAGCGGTTTAAAGGAGAACTATGGGGTCAGTGTTTTTCCCCATAGTTCTCCTTAGGGTAACGGGAGGACACAAACTAGCGTCCTCCCGTCACCCTAAGCTCAGTATACCGCGAGCTACAGCTCGCGGTATACTGAGACGCCGGTGCGGATCCCGACATCGATGTCGAGATCCACCCAGCTGCGTGAGTGACAGCTGGCTCTGCCTATCTAGAGGCAGAGCCAGCTGTACCCGCCCCATCCCCCGACCTATCCGCTATTCAGCGCTGGCGGATCGGAGCGGGGAGGGGGGAATCCAGCCCCTCCCCTGTCACGGCAGAGAGCCGTGACAGGATCGAGAGGTGAGCGAACACCGGTATATGTTCGCTCACCTCCCGATCTACTGAGCCGACCTGTGACAGTCCCATTGTCACAGGTCGGCTAGAACTATGAGGTGAGTGGAAAGCACTTACCTCATAGTTCTCCTTTAAAGTGAAACTTTATGTAAACATTTTAAAAAAGGGCGACCAGGCATGCTTTGCATTGCAATAAAGAACTCTTACCTGCCTGTTCACCTGCTAATGGACAACGTACACAGAGCTGCACATGTGCAGCTCAGTCTACAACTTCAGCGTATGTTGGGATGAATAAACTTCAGTGCATGCGCAGGATTAATATCATCCCGGCATGGCCAATCAAGGAAGCTGAAGATACTAACTCTGGAAGAAGACCTAGCAAAGATGTCAGCGCTGAAGAGGGAGCTCGCCAATGTCTCATCCCTGGAGGGGAGGTGAGTATAGTTCCAAAAATGTCACCAGGCCACTTCTTTACAAATAGACCCCAGTGTGTAGTGGAATATGGAAATACGGAGAAGAACGTGTGCATAGAAGCTTTCAATTGACAGAACAATGAAGTGTGAAATCACCTGCAGGACTTTTATGTCTTCTCTTAAGCCAAAGTTTTCTCTTTCCTTTGTTTCTGCCGTTAGTTGAAACCTTGCCTTAAAGAAAAAGAGAAAAAGAATGGAAACAGACTGTTATGTTACAAGATTGGATATTTACATTTGATATCAGATATACTACTTCAGTGAAGGCTCATGACAGTATGGGATCTTCTACGCTGTTTGGAATGCCAAAAGCCCGTCTTTACTGGATAGCATGAAAGTGATTTCCTATCTATTGCTCAATCACAACTAGGGAATAAATACATCACCAAACAGGCTTAAATACCTTTTCTGAAGTGTTTCATATAATACTTTGGGGTATTTATCAATGTTTCACCCAAGAATAATTTTTTTTAAATTAAATTGATAGATGCACAAATCTTGGGTACATTTTGGGTGAAAACATTAATATATTGACTTCTTTGTGTAAATTTTACTGCTTGCTGCAACAAATTGCCAGCATACCTCCATGGAGATATCTTCGCCCCCCCCCCCCCCCCCCCCCCCCCCCCCCCCCCCCCCCCCCCCGC